ACTCAAATTATTAAAATCATAAATGAAAGAGGGTACAATACCACTCACTTCACCGAATAAAAGGATTATGGAGGGAATATTATGAACAACTGTACACTGATCAATTAGGTAACTTATATAAATGGCCAAATTCCTACAAAAAAACATAAACTACTGAAACTGAAGAAAAAAAGAAAACGTGAACAGGCCTATCACAAGTAAAGAGACTGAATTAGTAATTTTAAAACTTTTTAGAGAGAAAAGTCTATGAGGGTTCACTGGTAAATTCCACCAAATATTTCAAGAAGAATTAATACCAACTCTTCATAAAGTTTCTAAAAACAGAGTAGGAAAAAATACTTCCTGACTCACTCTATGAGACTTGTAATAATTACCCTGATACAAAAAAACAGATAAGGACATCATAAGAAAAGAATAAACAGACCAATATCTCTCATAAATATTAGCAAAAAAGTCTCACAAAATGCTAGCAAATCAAATCCATCAGTATATGAAAATCACTATACATTGTTACCAAGTGGAATTAATCCCAGGAATAAAGTTAATTTAACATCCAATACTTGACCATCTCAGTAGATGCAGAAAAAGCATGACAAAATCCAACACCTTTTCATGATAAAAACACTCAGCAATCCAGGACTAGAAGAGAACCTCAAACTGATCAAAGGGCATTTATGAAAAACCCACAACTACCACCATATTTAATAGGAAAAGACAAATGCTTTCTCCCTAAGATAAGAAATAAGATAAGGATGTCCATCCTCTTCTCTTCTTTTAACACTGTACATTGTACGAGAGGATCTAGTGAGGGCTGGCAGGCAAAAAATAAATAAATAAAAGGTATCCATATTAATTTCAAAGGAAGAAGTAAAACTATTTCTACTTGCAGATGACATAATCTTATATACAGAAAAGTTTAAGGAATCCACTAAGTAACTATTTGAATACACAAGATCAGCAATGTTGAAGGAAACTAGATCAACAAGGTTTGAACTATATATTTTTTTCCCCATTTATCTTCAGATAGAGCGGGAGGAAGAGAGAGAGAGAAAAAACATCGATGTGAGAGAGATACATTGAGTGGTTGCCACCCACATGACTCCAACCAGGCTGGGGACACACTGTAACTGAGGTATGCACCGCACCCCTAGAGGGAACCTAACCCAGGACTCTCTTTTCCACGGGCTGACACTCTAACCACTGAGCAAAACCAGCCAGGTCTGAACTGTATTTTTATACACTAAAAACACACAATCCAAAATGAAATTAGAAAACAATTACACTTACAATATCACCATGAAGAATAAAACAATAAATTAAACAAAATGTAAAACTTACCTCTAAAAACTAAAATAAGATCTACGTAAATGAAAAATATCCCATGATTAAAATTTTAATATTAGGATGGCAATACCACCAAACTGACCTATACATTTTGCAATCTCTATAATTATTCCAGCTGCCTTTTGGGGGGGAAAAACGACAAGCTAATCCTAAAACTCATACAGAAATGCAAGCAACCCAGAATAGCCAAAACCATCTTGAGAAAGATCTACGTTAGAGGATTCGTACCTCCCAATTTCAAAACTTACCAAAAAGCTACAATAATCAATACAGCATTAGCCTCAGGAAAGACATATAGATCAATGGAACAGAACTGAGAATCCAGAACTAAATCCTTACATTGATGGTCAACTAATTTTCACAAAGGTAGTAAGACAATTCAATGGGAAAAGAAAAGTTTTTCCAACAAATAGTGCAAAAGACTGAATTTAGACTCATTCCTTACACTATATGCAAATATTAACCCAAAATAGATCATAGTCACAAATGTAAGAATTAGAATTATGAAACTTATGGGTTCCACTTCACACCTATAAGGATGGCTGCCATGAAAAAGACAAAGACAGATAATAACAAGTGTTAACAAAGATGAGGAAAAACTGGAACCCTCAGCCACAGAATGATGGTACAGCTGCTTTGGGAAACAGTGGGGCAGTTCTTCAAAATGTTAAACATGGAGTTACCACATGACTCAGTAATTCCATTCTGAAGTATCCACCCAGGAGAAACAAACACATGCGTCCACACAAGAAACTGTTCAATAATGTTCGCAGCATTATTCATGCTAGCCAAAAAGTGGAAATGACTCAAATGTCCACCAATTGAAGAGATGAGTAAATTGTGGTATCTATATATTGGGCTGTTATTTGACAATAAAGAATGAAGTACTGACACATGCTACAACATAGAGGGAGGAATCTTGAGAACATTAAGTGAAAGAAGCCAGTCACAGAAGTCCACATATTATATAATTCCATTTATATGAACTGTCAAAATATGAATATCCAGAGAAAGAAAGTAGATTAATGTTTTCCTAGGACTGAAGGGTGGGAAGTGACTGCTTATGGGTATGGGTTTCTTTTGGGAGTGATGAAAATATCGTAAAACTGACTATAGTAATGGCTGCATAATTCTGTGAATATACTAAACCCATTGAATCACATACTTTAAATGGGTAAATGTAATGTATAGTATATAAATTATACCTCCTAAAGATGTAAACAAATAATACAGAAATTGCTTAGCCCAGTGCCAGACACAAAGTGCAACGTAACTTTAGCTATGATCATTTATAAAACGCATTGTCACAGACATCACTAGAAGGCATCAAATATGCATTTTCATAGGTGTATTTGTAACATGTGTCATATTCAATCACAGATACTGTTAAAATCAGGCATGATGAAGCCAAGACCAGAGATGGCTCATGGAGGATCATAAGCAGTAAGTAGTCAGGGTAAAGCAGCCAGGAGGAGGGTGTTTATCACTAATGCACCCCATCACCTTCTGCCAACTTAGAGCTGGCCCCTGGGGAGTTCCACTGCGCTGGGGACTCAGGAGAAAGCAGGGGAACTGCCCCAGAAGGGATAAGCAACAACACCTCTAGGACCAGATTTTGAGAGGGCGAATGTATAAGGGAGGACCTTTTTTTGGGGGGGGGGGGGTATGGGAAAGATAGGAGGAGCAGACAAAACAAAACAAAATGGCAAAGAGAAGGCACAATCATACTAACAGGACTAACAGGCTGATAGGGTGGTAAAAAAGCGAAAACATATATTTAAAAATGGCAACAGTATTCACTTCCTTCTTTGTACCCAAAATTCCTAGGAAGAAAGGAGGGGCAAAGAGAGAACTGAGCTTTTTATATGAAAAAAAAAAAAAAAAAATTCTTTAAAATATTCATACATTTCAGCCTTGGCTGGTTTGGCTCAGTGATTAGAGCATCGGTCTGCAGTCCAGAGAGATCCGGGTTCAGTTCCCGCTAAGGGCACATACCTCGGTTGCAGTTTGTCCCTGGCCCTGGTTGGTCGTGCGGGTGGCAGCCACTCGATGTGTCCCTTTCACGTTGATGTTTCTCTCTCCCTCTCTCTCTCCCTCCCACTCTATCTGAACAAAAAATGGAAAAATGTCCTCGGGTGAGGGGGAAAAAAAAATTCATATATTTCAGCCCTGGCCTGTTTTGCTCAGCGGTGAGAACTTCGACCTGTGGTCCAGAGAGACCCGGGTTCGGTTCCTGATGAGGGCACGTACCTCGGTTGCAGTTTCTCCTGGCCCTGACTGGGTCGTGTGGGTGGCAACCACTTGATGTGTTCCCTTCACATCGATGTTTCTCTCTCTCTCGCTCCCTCCCACTATATCAAAAAATAGAAAAAATGTCCTCAGATGAGGATAAAAATAAAATAAAATAAAATATTCATACATTTCAGAGTCATACTATAACTTCTAGGTGTTCAGACTGAGAAATTCATAGGCTTTAAATTACTGCAGTACTACTTATAAATGCAAATAATAGACAACATTTATTGAGTGCTTACCATGTGCTAAATTTATTATTTCCTAATCCTCATCCTAGTCTAATGACATGGATAATATTAAAAATCTCATGTTAAAGAGGAGGTAACTAAGGTACATAAGTTAAGTAACATTCTCAAGGATGAGAAATTTATAAGTGGCAGAGCTGAAATCTGAAATCAGGCGCCTAATTTCTAAATCCAGAAATTTAACATTACACTTATATGTCTCAAGTATACCATCAGCGGTTCATGAAATGATTTTAGGTGGAAATCTCATATTAGTATTTAAATATAATAAAACATCAATTTCACAATAATTATATAAAGTTTACTTTTCAAACAAATATGAAAAAAAGATATTAGTCAACTTTTAAAAAGAAAGCAGTATTTACGCCTAGAAGAGAATATGGGAAAATACAAATCCCTGATTTTCTGAGAAGGTGAAATTTTGAGTAGTCCCTTAAAAAAAATAATCTTCCTAGTTCTAATGTTCCTAAAATGATTGTGCTTTAAAAAAAAAAGAGGCATTTAAAAAGTCTGTTTTAACCCCTCAAAACATACGTAGTCATTCTATAAAGCATCTTTTCCATTAGTTCATCTCACAAAATGTTAATATGCTCACCACTGAGCTCCCTCCCACTTGAGTGAACCTCTTTCCCCTTCAGAAGTAAATTCCTGACATTTATTAGATTTTCTATTTCCTCCTTTTATCCTATCTTACCCTGAAGTTCCAGGACCAGGCAACTTAACTATTCATTAAAAGGTCCCAGAAATTCTTCATAAGAAAAATACCTGCAGGGAACCTTGTAGGCACATGAAACTAGTTCTAAAAAGGCAAGGGTTACTGTGCTATTACCTAGGGTTCCTCTGTGTCTGATAAGCTGCCCACCGCTGGCACACTAACAAAGAAATTGCAATTGGCAAAGGGGAAGGACTCTGTTTCATCCTAATTCCCAAAGGGCCAAAGACCTAGCCCAGGTACTTCTGTTTCCCTTGGTGAGATACTTCTAATACTCCCAAGACAGTGTGCAAACAAAACATCTCTGGCTTTTCCATACAGTGAACAGAGTTTAGAACTTTTAATGTTTTCCGGCAAGTTCTCTCTCTGATGACAGCCACCAGGCCAAGGCCGCCCTCACCCACCTGTGCATGTTCCCATTGGTGGTAAATGACTGGCCGCACACAGTGCACTTGTAAGGTCTCTCGCCAGAGTGCACCAGCATGTGGCGGTCCAGGGAGCTGGCCGAACTCAGAGACTTCCCGCAGATGCTGCACGAGTGGTCTGCCCCTCCGGTGTCTGTGTTGTGCTGCAGAAAGCAATCACCACAGGTCACATAAGATGGGTCAAAACTCGGTAATGCAAACTCAGAATTTTAAAATAAAACCAAAAAAGCTTCTCAGCTATTTTTTGTTTGTTTGTTTCATTTTAAATATCTTCCTGAATGCCAAAATCTATCAGGAACTCAGACAAATAAATATTCTGTAAGATCTTCTATTCCCATGTTTCAGTCTTAAAAAAATACTTCTGTAGCCCTGGCTGGTTTGGCTCAGCGGTTAGAGCATTGGCCTGAGGACCAGAGAGACCCGGGTTCGGTTCCCGCTAGGGGCATGTACCTCGGTTGCAGTTTGTTCCCGGACCTGGTTGGGGTCGTGTGGGTGGCAACCAGTCAGTGTCTCTTTCACATAGATGTTTCTCTTCCTTTTCCTCCCTCTCTCCCTCCCACTCTATCTGAAGATAAATGCAAAAATGTCCTCAGGTGAGGATAAAAAAAAAAAAAATACTTCTGCAAGGCTGAGAGAGAGCTGGAATCTTTGAAGGTCTTTCTTGGAGACACAAAGAGACGAACTGGCCACATATATTAACATGGACAGGAAGACTGTCAGCTATGAGGCAAACAGGAGAACCATGGTCCTCACATCAAGTCCATGTTCATTTTCAAGTCTGATGACTCGTCTTGCTGTCAGGGAAGATCTGAAATCTGCACAGTTGAGAGAGGTCTGGCTCTGAAACATGTTAAGAAGGAACATTTCCATCCAAACCCAAGTTACTAAATGATGTTATTATTCAGTACCATGCTATAAGTTTAATAATGTCACTCCTTCATTGCCCTGGATTCATCAATACTTTGTCATGAACCAGTCATAGCAGGCAAGGAAGAAGAAAACAATCTCATAATAAAGAAGAAAAGCCAAATGAGATCCCAAATCAAGTCAATTCCCTGCTGTATGACACATAACAATATAAAGAGTAGGGGTCTACACCTACGATCTCACTGTTCTGTAAGGGGATTTGGTTCATAATGACAAGACACTGCTATGCAGTCTTCTGTTACATGTGGTCAGTTAACCTGACGTTTGCTAAATTCTGAAAACGTTTTCTTTGTTGACCTGGGTCTTTGTCACAATAACACAGACACAGAATCATTTCATAACCACCTCTCAAAATAATTAAAATATTAAATCTAAATTAAGCACAGCCACAACTGATAAACTGGGATCAAATCACCTTGTCCTCTCCTAACGAAGAGTGATTTAAAACAAAACATAAAAGCAGCAGCAAACCTGACGAATGTGCATAGTTAATTGATGCTGCGTCGTGCAGATCTTCTCACACAGGGGACAGTTGTAGGAAGACTTCTCCTCTTTCGTTTCCTGAAAAGACATCATAAAAGGGAGACTCAATTTCACGTCACAGTAAACTAGTACCTCTTATTTCTGTTACGAGCACCTGTGTCTCAAAAGCTGTAGCAATGAAACAGCTGAGAGGATGGGCTCTGGGCCTGCCTGGTGTGCGCGTGGGCTAGCCACTGTCCTGTTGGCCCTCAGTTTCCTCATTTGTAAATGGGAACAAGAGCATCTACCACAGTATCACACTGCGATGAGGATTAATTCAGTCAATACACATAAAGCACCGGAACAGTGCCTGGCACAGAGTAAGTGCTCAATAAATATTAGTGTTCTTATTACACAGACACCATTTAATTAATTATCAGTGATGGTGAAAAATTAAGCATTAGGTCAGGGCAGAGCTAGAAAAGGAATATATTTCTCCCCAAGTCCGACCCAGGCTCCAGCCATTCTATTCCATCTGTTCTCAGGGCCCTGAAGAACACATGAGAGGGAATGAAGTTCTCAGGACAAAAACCCACCCTCCCTATGGTGGAGGACCTCAGGGCTCAGCTGTGTGCCCAACAGGCATCAACATGACCCTTTCACGCCCTGCTAGCACCTGCCTGACACCGCTCATTAATAGAAGAGTAAGAATGCTGTGGAAACTGTGACAGAGAATGAATGTCCAAAATGAAGACTTCCACAGAGGTGGCAAAAGAACCAGCTCACTACTTGGAAAAGTGGCTCATTTTTATGTTCCCTCAAAACACACAAGACAAGCTTCCTTCAAGCAATCTAGTTTACCTTTTTAATGAAAATACAAGCTCCGTCATTACCTACACAACTCCTTTCAAAACAATTCATGGAGAGTTGTCACAGATGTGCCTGTCACAGCCTTCTTGCAACAATCCCTGAGCACCAGAGGTCTCTGTCCTCATCCCAAAACTAATGGGATCATGGCCTGGACCCTCTCCCAGGAATGTGGAATTGAGGTGCTGAGAGACTAAGATCCGTGGGTTTGCAAAGAGCAGCAGAATCACCTGGGGAGCTTTCTGAGCTACAGATTTCTAGATCAGGCTCACAACAGGCTGAATCAGAATCACTGGAGTAAAGGGAGCTGAACCCCGGGAATCTGTTTCACAAGCTCCCAGGAGATGTTGGTATGTGCCCAGGTTTGGGGATGACTAAGTTACTAAGTTAGGTGATCACCAGCACTTAAATTGAAAGTTCATGAGGGTTGGGGCCAAACCCAGCAGCATGGTGAGCCCAAGTCCATGCTAAAGGAAGTGGGAGACCAGGAAGCCCATGAGAGAGGGGAGGGCTGGACCCTGGGGCATCTTTCAATACACCCCCTTTTCCATGCGCTCATTTGAATGAGTTTCTGTTCCTCACAAATAATACCAATTATTAAGCACTTACTTTATGCTAAATTTTGTACATATAAAAACGTCAGTTTTTTCGCAACCACTAAGATAGCCACTATTAAGGATCCCATTTTCTGGATGAGGAAACTGGGGTACAGAGAGGCAAGTATCCTGCCCCAAATCAGAGAACTATTACATAGGTCCAGGATTAAAACTCAGGCCAGCTGAAACTCAGCCCATTCCCTAAACCACTGACTATGCTATGTGAGTCTGACCCCCCCAAAAAAGGTGAACTCTAAGGCACAGAAAACAAACACCCTGTGGTTGGCTTATGAGATATGATGAAAATAAAAGTCACCTGAAGACTTACAGAAACAGACGGCACCATAAACCAGACCGGGTGGAGTGAACGCACAGTGATGTCCAATACGGAGCTACCGTCAGCGGTTCTCTCCCTCCTCAAAGACTAACAGCCTCATTGTAAGCACTACAGTCGTCTCCCCCATCTGCAGTTTTGCTTTTCATGGTTTTAGTTACCCAAGGTCAGCCACGGTCCAAAATTATTAAACTGAGAATTCCAGAAATAAACAATTCATACGTTTTAAATTGTGTGCCGTTCTTGAGTAGTGTGAGGAAATCACGCCATCCTGCTGTCCGCCCAGGACGTGACTCTTCCCTGAGTCCAGCATCTCCATGCTGTACGCAGTCACTTAGTAGCTGTCTTGGTTATCAACTCACTATTGAGGCATCGCGATGCTTATGTTCAAGTCATTCTTATTTTACTTAGTAATGGCCCCAAAGCACAAGAGGAGTGATGCTGGCAATTTGAACATGCCCAAGAGAAGCCATTATGTGCTTCCCTTAGTCCAAAGGTCTGTATGTACAGGGAAAAACCAATAATTTAGGGCTCTGTACTATCTACAGTTTCAGTCATCTACTGGGGGTCTTAGAAAATAGCCCCTGTGGGCCAGTGGGAGCCCCTGGACAAACCTTCTTCTAGTCTGTGGCACTGGGTCTGAGAACTAGGTATGCTATTCATTTTTTTTCACTCTCAAACTTCAAAAAAAATTACAAATATCAAGCTTAAGGAAGTTGATTCACTCAGAGGCAGTAAAAAGTCTGTCAGTGTCACTGAGTCATCCAGAGACTTCCACTCCTCCCAGGGTAAAATGTATGTTTCTGGGGTGGGGTGGGTGGGGTATCATACCTTCTCAGCCCAGTCCTACTACACTCAGAATGAAGCTGGCCAAGAACCACAACACAGAAAAACCAAAAACAAAAGTAGCAACGACAAAATAAGAGCACTCACTATTGTAATGAGAAATGCCTCACAGCCAGGCCAAAACGCAGTCTTGGACCTTTTTGATGAATTATCAGATTAGCAATAATATATATATATATATATATATATATATATATATATATGTTTTAAATTTTAAAGGAAGATTTATTAGTAGGATGTAAATAAATGTTAAAAAGCCAGGTCTCCGCCCTGGCCAGTTTGGCTCAGTGGTTAGAGCGTCGGCCTGCGGTCCGGAGAGACCCGGGTTCGGTTCCCGCTAAGGGCACGTACTTTGGTTGCAGTTTGTCCTTGGCCCTGGTTGGTCGTGCGGGTGGCAGCCACTTGATGTGTCCCTTCACGTCGATGTTTCTCTCTCTCTCTCTCCTTCCTCTCTCTCTCTCCCACTCTATCTGAACAAAAAATGGAAAAATATCCTCGGGTGAGGATAAAAAAAAAAAAAAAAAAAAGCCAGGTCTCCAAGTGCCCAGCTTCTTAAGGAGGCAGGTTAAAAAACAAAAACCTCTTTCCTTCCCCTTGAGGTAGCTAGACACACTGACAGCCTGGGGCCGGCCGGCAGTGCTTCGGGCTCATGGTGAGCTGAGCCCAGACGCTCTGAGGCTGGCAGTGCACGCTGCAGGCCGCAATACCGGCCCACAAAGTCCATGGTGGTCTGGGAGAAGAAGTCTGCGAACTCAGATTTAGTTTTTATAAACAAGCCAAATAGCAAAGGCAGCATCGTGATGCTGGAAGAAGCCCTACTGGAGGATTCTGAACCAAGTTATTGGGGCCACGCTGGTGGAAAGAGCACACTTCCTGAGCTGACAGATAAAATTAGCAGCCAATGTGATAACGAGCCATTCCATAACAGAATGGTCTGGCACCACGTCGGCGTCGGCTGGGGCCAATCTGTCCTGGAACTCAGTGCGAGCGCCCACGGGACTCCTCCCAGGGCTCCCTCTCTGCCCTCCCCATCCACTCTCAGGTGCGGACGAAGGACTCTCTCTCCCCACTGCACTGTTTTTGCTTTTTCTTCCAGTGTACTGTCTTTCCCATACTACCTCAGGCCCAGACCTTCCTTTAAAAAACGAAGCCAGTGCCCCAAAGAACCCAAGGAACCTGGGGGTACGGGAGGTAGATGAAAGACAGCCCAGGCACACACCTGTACCATTTGCTTCAGCACACTTGCAGTCACTCCCAGTTACCATCCCAGGACGGAGGGACTGTGCGTCTCTTCCTAGGGCTCTACCTATTGTCTCTGAACCACTGGGAAAGGACTGGAGCCTGAACTTGTGCCAACTCTGCCCCGGTTGGGGCAATGCTGGGCTATTTAAGGAGGAGTGATCCCTACCTACCACTTTCTTCTGGTAAAACAGAAGAAAGAGAAGACAGTGACCGTGTCTATCTCACTCATCCTGAAATGCCTGGTACCCTGGTGCAGTACCTGGCTGGAGGAGCTGGTATACACTGTGAAATGAGTGAATGGATGGAGAGATGAGCAAACAGGCAGGTGGACAGACAGTCATGTGAGAGTGGAAATAAACCTTTTCTTCCCAGAGCTAGCGCTCCTTCTTGACTCAGGCCACAGTCACACAGGCTGAGTATTTTCTCAGGAACCCATAGGAAGAAAGGCACGCAGAGACGAGGAAAAAAAGAGAGAAAAAAGTATCAATGCTCCAACCCTGAAACATTATTTAACTCTGTCAAGTCTTCAGCACTGAGAAAAGCATAGAGAAAACCAACACGCAAATTCCTCCAAGCTGCTGGAGGAATTTTAGGCTGGAACAACTTTTCCTGGAGGGCAAGTTATATCAAAAGCCTTAATTAATGTTTTACTTCTAAGAATTCATAGAAAATCAGCATAGATATGCTCAGACAATTCTATGTAAGGACAGTCACTGTAGGATTGTTAATAAAAAAAAAACAATTCACAAAAGCCCAACAAGTTTACTTTCGTCTCCATCCCTGGTATCTAGACAAACTCTTAAGATTGCCTACTCCCTGAGGGTTTGGTGTAACCCCACTGAATCAGTTAAACCAGAAACTAAATGTGGAGGAGTCTGTTCATATCATATGGGTTCAGAGAAGAAATAAGGACTATTTACTCTCTACCTCACTCCCTGAGCTTTGGTGAACATGCTGCTAACAGGATAGCAGCCCCTTTGCAAGTGCCCACTCTGAACATCAATCAAATGACTCAACTCATGCCCTGGCCAGTTTGGCTCAGCGGTTAGAGCATCGGCCTGCGGTCCAGAGAGGCCTGGGTTCGGTTCCTGCTAAGGGCACGTACCTCGGCTGCAGTTTGTCCCTGGCCCTGGTTGGGTCGTGCGGGAGGTAGCCATTCAATGTGTCCCTTTCACGTCGATGTTTCTCTCCCTCTCTCTCCCTCCCACTCTGTCTGAACAAAAAATGGAAAAATGTCCTGGGGTGAGGATTAAAAAAAAAAAAAAGATTCAACTCATTTCCCAACACAGGGACTGGACTTGGACTATACCATTAACCCTCCCAGACCCTGCCCACTCATTCACTCTTTCCCTCTTCTCCTGATCTGATGCCCACTACAAGTTCAAAAGGACTAAATCATCTCTGAAGTGGAATTCTCTGGAGCCAAACTCTGTGATGTCAAGGATGGAAGGCTGGATAGCAGCCCCAGCACAACCAGTATTTATTCGCTCCCTAATCGAAGACACTTAAAACAATAATCAAGGAGGTAAAACCAAATTAACCAGCTGGGTAAGGAAATGAACAACATCACAGCAGAGGACTAAGTGAAGGTCTACACCTTGGCCATCAGATGAAGAACGCTGGCAATCAAATCAAGTGACAGGCAGAGAATCAGGGCGCCTTTATCAATATTGACAACACAGCATATAACATTTTCTCCATGAAAGGAAACAAAGAAGCTATGAAAAGTTCACACTTGAAAAATGATTAGTCTCTGCTGAGGCTCAAGGGAACACCCTTCTCTCAACATCTCAGAGAATGAAGTGACCAGAGGTCACCACCTAGCACACAGAAGCTTACCTGGTTCCTTCTGCCAATCCGATTTGGTCCTGGAGGCTTCGTGGGGGACTTGATGCTCTGGGGGCTCCCACCATTCTCGGCGACCTTCCCTACACTCATTACCGCTGACATCATGGTGTTGATGGAAGACAAGTCTGAACCTTCCAAGCCAATAGGCGAACTTGACGTCATTGGGACAAGGGTTTAAGCTTCTAAGAAGCCTCTGCCATAGAACTGAAAATCGGAAATTGCTGACGTGATCATTGGGAAATTTAGGACTCTGTCAGAGCCAGGTGGCACTGGCCATGGCTAGCATAACCAAGTTAGGCAGAAACACCTAAAACCCTGTCTTCAGTTCAGCTGACATTCACACACCCGTAATGACCTCAGCTTTCACCTCAATGAAGTGTTGTCATATCAAAGAATAACCTGTTTCCTTCCCAAGTGTATGCCACCAACACAACTCCCAAAGCCACCACAGGCAGCTCTCTTTGCCTTTCCTAATCTTTCATTAGGCAGGGTGGCAAAGGCTGAGCCAACAATTAGGAAGCCCAGGGAGCTGCCATGTGGCCAGCTCCCTCTGATAACCTAACTCATTTAGTACTACAGGAATGCTGCAGGCCTGACAACTGAGGATCTCAGGGTTCACCACTCCCCTGCCGCAAGCCAGTGATTTCAATGGGCCCAAATTGTGTAAGACAATTGAGGTACCAGCCCTATTAAGATTATAAGCAAATCAAATCAACATAAAAGATTGCTTCTTAAAAATGCAAATAGGTCATGTACCTATACCCCAGGAAATGGACAGAAGAAAACCCGGCCCACTGCCAATTACCTCCATTTTCTGCCCCAACTGATACACTATGAGATTTTCCCTTGCTATAGCTATCATCCACGTGGAGGAGGAGATAGTCTGTTTCACTTCTTTTTTTTTCTTCTCTTGGTATCACTCGTTCACACTAGAAGGGAAGCAAAGGCAAAAAGACTCAGTGTATATCTTTTCAACTTAGTGAAGAAAAGACTGAAACCATTTATTTGCTGTAATCTCAGACCACGAAATTCACGGGAATACAGGAAGCACAGATGAGATGCGATTTCTAAGTCTTCTTTTTCTTCCAAAACCATATTCTGTGGTTGTTTTGCAACTTTAACTGATGTTTCCTACAGTGCTGTCACCCTCACAGCCAGGAGGACTGCGGTATTTTCCTTTCTGAAGCCCATATTTGTGTGTGTGTGTGTGTGCGCGCGCCCGTGCGCAACATGATGTCCCCCAAAAAGTGTAATTATAAAGCCAGTGTGTGTTAAAATACATTTCATTTTCAAAATGTAATAGACTCTACAGATACCCTGTATATATTTTTTTGGACTATATGTGTTATAATTTTCTTTCATACTCTACCCCCACCCCTCATGCCCCATAAGGACTCACAGACTTCAACTTGACCCACCTCTACCTAAAACTGAGCAAAGACAAGGCAGTTGAGGAATTCCCTAAAGCCTCACAGTCTAGAAGCTATTAGGTCAGATCTAAAGGAAACTAGGTCATATGAAAAGAATGATCAAAGGGAAAACTGGCTCATGGCCACATCAAAACCTACCTCTTCAGGCCTTTTTTAGTTACATTCTTTGTAACTACAAGTGTGATGGCTATAGGTATGGCCACTGGTGTTCTACAGGTAAAGTAGTTCCCTCATTTTACCTGGGATGGTATTTCACAGCTAACGCCTATTCTCCCACAGTGTGCATTAGTAAATTTGACAAGTCCACAACTGTGTCAAAGATCAAGCTCATTATCTCACAGCAAAGGGAATGCTTGGGAAGAATATAAAAAAACAAAAAACAAAAAAAACATGATTTCCTGTGGTTTCCTCCTCCAACCTTAGGCAATGTGACCAAGGATAGGACAAGTGGTAACACCCAGAGCAGCCAAGAGTATATCCAGCACCAGAACAAGCAAGGCCTGGGGACATAACTTCATTAAGCGATGCTGCAACCAGCTCAGAAGTCCCAAGCCAAAATCCTACCAGAAACGTCAGAAAAAATCTCAGGAATAATCCTTTTCTCGTCAAGAGACAAAATATGCCTTCTTCTTAACAGACACTTTGAAGATATGAACCTAATGGCTTTCCAACAGTAACTGAAAGGGCTGACTGCAGAAACACACCCCTCACATATTTCCTCATCCACAGAGGAAAATGAGGGTCAAAATTAAAGGAAAAGAAACAAGCTGTTGTCGTCTTGTGAAGATTCCCCACGCTCAAAGACCATTTAAATGTATTCATTATGCTTCAACTTTCCCCTTTCTAATGGTCTTTGAAACTTTATTTGGGAGATTTCTCTTTAAGACCATGTGACACAAGTGCACACATGTAAGTGTACACACACCTCAATTCTTTCGTAATGGATTTCTAACAAAAGTATCATCAGTCTCCTATAATTGTTGTAATCAATCAGCATGCAATTAGTTGTTTGACTCAAATAAGTGAGAACACCTCCAATACCAAAATCATCTTCATTCTTTTAACTATACTTCCCCCATAGTTTTAATGTACATCAAATGATAAAATAACTGACTAGAAATCTTCTTTAGTATAATTATGCAAGTAAGAAAAAAATTAACCTTTCTACCAATTTACAGTATGAGTTTAGAAGATGATCTTCCTTTTGTCCTATGGCTCCTAGATTAGAAAATGTGGTAGATTTTACTCAAATCTGAAATAGGTTAGAGTAAAACAACTTTAGAACAAAATAAAAAATAAAATTTATTCTATCATTGTGTAGGAAAAGAAAGTGGAGAGGAGGGAACTATTCAATATGAAATGAACAAAAATACATTCACTAAGCAAAGTCAAATTGTTGGTAAGACCTTTTGTCACAGTCACTATAACATCAGACACATTCTTGCAAACTTCCTAAGTGTCTTAAATATACAATACCTAGCATTAAAGATAGCTAACCAACATAAGGGCTGAAAGTCGCAAGGGCTTATCCCCATTGGAAACAGAGAAAAGCCTGGTACACTCATTTTCCATTTTGTCCCAACAAGAAGACACTTGCCAAACCGATTTCCTCTTTGGGATAAAGTGTGACATAACCCATTGATGACACCAAGATCACCTACATTTACTTCCATTTCCTGGTTTGAAGGTAAGTAAATAGCAATTTTAAAAAAATAGAGACTGCTTATCTCGTTCTGAAAGTACAATCAACAAAACAAAACTCCCAGCTATACTGTTTGAAGAGTCATGGCACTCATCCCCGAAGAGCTATTTCAGAAGCAACCCCAACAGCCCCTCTGAGCTGCTGCAAGGTTTTACTCCAGTTTGCTCTTATACTTGAATTCTCTTTTGGGACAACGATGCTGGGGAGGAGGGAAAGAACCTGGTTTGAAACACAATGTAGCACATTGTTCCATGATGGGAAAATAAATCTATTTTAACACTGAGCTCATCTATGCGATAATTTAACCAGAGGCCAGTGGGCCATTATTAGTCAATTCTACCTTCCCCCATGCCCGACCCCAGACTATATTAGAGAAATAATCCACTCTAACTAACCTAAACTTACTGATACTCAATCTCAGGGAATGAAATATAAGTTTAAGAGTTTAAGGTCCATTTACAAAGCACATTTTTCTTTATAGATACAGTCTTAATATTTTTGTTCTCTCTTCTGCCAATTTCTTCTCCCTGACAGCATCCTGCACATCAGCCCCACCACTGCAAATAATAATAATAATAAATAAAATAAAGCCCTGGCCAGTTGCTCAGTGGTTAGAGCATTGGCCCATGGACCAAAGAGTCACTGGTTCGATTCTGGTCAAGGGCACATACCTTGGTTGCGGTTTGGTCCCTGGCCCTTGTCGGAGTTGTGCAGGAGGCAACCAATCGATGTGTCTGTCACATCAATGTTTCTTTCTTTCTCCTTCCTACTCTGTCTGGAAATAAATGGAAAAATATCCTCAGGTGAGGATTTAAAAATAAATAAAATGAAAATGAAAATCGATGATCCCATTCCAACACAATCTCCTCCAACTGGAATCAGAGAAGACTGGTAACTCAGATGAAATTCTGAAATCACAGATATAAAATGATTCACCATCTTGCCCTGGCCAGTTTGGCTCAGCAGTTAGAGCTTTGGCCTGCGGTCTAGAGAGACCTGCGTTTGGTTCCCGCTAAAGGCACTTAGTTCGGTTGCAGTTTGTTCCCAGACCTGGTTGGGTCATGTGGGTGGCAACCACTCGATGTGTCCCTTTCACGTCGATGTTTCTCTCTTTCTCTCTCCCTCCCACTCTATCTGAACAAAATATCGGAAAATGTCCTCGGATGAGGATAAAAATTTTAAAAAAAGATTCACCATCTTCATTCACATGGCCAAGTGGGCTGGCCTGGTGTTCCAATTTTTAACACAGTCTAGATTTGGGGGTGGTAAGCAAGAAGCAGGAAATGGGGGTGTATGAAGTGTTTTGCTTGTGAGACAAACACTAGGTACCCTTTTCGAGATTTCTCATCCCACACCTCTAGTCCAATAAGTCAAGAAGAACTAGCAATTCAATTACAACCTCACTGTGGTGGTTTTGCATGAAAGCCACTGGGGACCTGGAGAAGAGGGAGGGAACTCAAAGGCATGTGGGGAAGGACAAAGGGAGAAAGGAAGACTCAACATTTAATGTTATTGTGACTTACGGAAAGTCAATAAAGTTGAACCAACCTGTTTTCTGTCTTATCAAGCTGGCCCTCCTTACTGAGGAGCTGGTGCTGGCTGGGCCCAAATGTGGGCAGAGTCACACCTCAAAGCCACCACCTCTGGAGCAGAGTGGGAGCAACCTACAAAAATGAGAAAAGGTGACATTATGAGGGAGTCAACACCAAAAACGATACCATCTCTCTATTCCTCCACTCAATTCCACCAGGAGTCACAAATTAAAGACAACATGTCCCACCCTGCCTGTACTTTATAAGTACACTTCCAGCTCCGAGGTGGATTCCACCCCGTCAGCCATCAACATGTAAGCAAGAACAACCAGAGACAAGTGTGCCTTGGACAGAGGGGAACTCCCCAAGCACGCTCCAACAATGCCTAAGGCAGTATGACCCGAGAAAGGCTTGGACCACTGGCTCCAGGTGGAGCTTCGAGCATCTTGATGGCATGTTAATGCTGATGGATGGCCAGATTAAAGGGTAGAGAAGGGCAAGACATCAAGTGCTATCAGAAACAGAGAGGAAAAAAGAACTGAAGCAAAAAATGTGGAACTAAACAGTCCCTCAATGTAAAAGAGAATTATTACATCTTTTCTTGAGTGATGGGTGAAGTGTCCATAACAGTTCAAATAGGACCAAATACATGTTTTCTTTTCTGTAGAAGAGTGTAGAAAACTACTCAAATTACACGCAGCCTTCAAGAGCTTGAGAATGTCTGTTCTGGGTGCCAAGGGCCTCAAATGTCTGGCTGGGGAGAAGGCGTGTCTGGCCCTCTGCAAAGTGAGGGAAAACTGAAGTGCAGCATTTCCCAGAGCTAGTTCTCTGAAAACAGCATCCCACAGTTAAACTGAAGAGTGAAAAATTGGGAAGTAAAAACTAAAGATGTAAAATAAACTGCCACACAGACAAAACTGGTCAAGAAATACTTGCTTGGTATGTTTGCTCGTGTTTATTCCCTTTTTGGAGAGTCAGAAAAGCTGCCCAATCATGTGAACGCCCAGCCAGCATCTTGACTCGTAACTCTGCCCAGTGGAATTACTGAGCACCCGAGGTGGCAAACCTCTGCCAGCCTGCTGGTTTGGTGCGAGGAAGCTTCCCTCCCTAGCCCTTCAGTTAGGAGCAGCTCCTCATGGTCTCTGACACCATGAAGAGTTTCTCTCTTTATACCTCATTGCTTTCATTCATCTTTTCTTCTTTGGGCCTTTCCTCTTTTGAAAAATTCTTTGGATTCTGAACAAAGTATCAAGAAACAAGGAGCTGACCCATAGGGACTGCCCCTGAATGAGGCAGAGACCCCTTAATTAGAGGAGCCCTAATTACCACCCCAGTAATTCTCAATGTCTCTTGGAGGCAAGACCCTCCTGGAGGATCTGATGGAAATTTGGACCCTCCCACAGAAACATGCACATTCTCTACACCCAACATTATTTTTCAGTATCAGGAGGGCCAGGGATCCCAAAAACCCATTCGAGATAAGTAGAAGAATCCTGGCTTTATTTGATACATAACCCACCTTCCTTTAAACTATGAATCAAGTCAATTTTATTAAAAAATCCCATGAGGGTTCAGAAATACTGCAACAAAACATTCTTTTAGATCAGTGGTTCTCAACTTTCCTAATGCCGCAACCCTTTAATACAGTTCCTCACGTAGTATGTGGGCGGACCCGCCTGGCGGCGGATAGAGGAGCGGTGTCCCGGTTCCTAAGACATATTTCCAATAGTCTTAGGCGACCCCTGTGAAAGGATCATTCGACCCCCAAAGGGGTCCCGACTCACAGGTTGAGAACTGCTGTTTTCAATCATCCCCACCCACCTAAACGTAAAGTTGCCTAAGGTGAAATTAAACACTGTTTAAAAATAAAAGAAAGGCAAGGTTTTCCTGTAATTATTCCTTTTTCAATTACTGGCACGTTTTATTAGAAAGAAAGTCTAGAAAGGAATAGCTCCATGTTTTGTTTGTTTGCTTGTTTTTTGTTTTTGTTTTGGTTATCACCTGAGGATATATTTTCCATTGATTTTTAGAGTGGAAGGAAGGCAGGGAAGGAGAATTGGGAGGGAAAGAAAGGGGGGAGAAAGAGAGAGATCAATTGGTTGCCTCCTGCACACGCCCCAACCAGAGCCAGGGATTGAACTTGTAACCCAAGCACATGCCCTTGACCAGGAATCGAACCAGAGACCCTTTGGTCCAAGAGCTGAGTCTTTAACCACTAAGCCACACTGGCCAGGGCAGCTTTACTTTTTTCTAAATACCACAAAGATCTCCAAATAAGTGAACTATAGTGTTATATATTATTAAGAAAAACACACATGAGAGAGACGAGTCTCTGGAATCAAAAATTTTTCAGTACATATTAAAAAAAATTAAATTTTTGAAAAAATTTTTTTCAGAATATAACTAAGAGTCTCAAAATTTGAACATGCTCCCTCCCCTCAATTAAAAAAAGATACTTTAAAAAGTCCAAATAAGCTCTCAGCACACACGGAACCAAGGGGAGGAAAGGGCCAACCTGACAGGCTTGACCCTGAAACTTCCATCCTCTGATCTTGGATGTAAATGATTTGAATATTGAGAATGTCTTGCAATTAAGCTGAGTAACAAGAGTCGCTACCCTGTTCATTCTGGGTTCCACCAGGCCAGGGGGATTCACAGAACTCAGAGAGTGGGAAAGAGTGGAAAAGTACAGGACAGTTCTTGGAAGAAAACCCAAGATACCCCTTACCTCTATCAATACTGCCTCAGGGCAAAAGAAAAAAAAAAAGATCAGTGCAGGAGGCTGTGCCCTAGAAGATGACTCGTGTAGGGGAAATGTGACCGCACTGGCTGGGGAGGGGAGGCTCCTGGCTCCTGAGGGAGGGTCCTGACTCTCTGGCTTCACATTCCCCCCGGGCCTTGCCTAGGTCCAATGGAAGCAGCAGGACTTGGAGAGGGCAGAGGTCCACTGTGAGGATGAGGGGGAGGGAAAGGGTAACCAACCCCTCCCCTGCCCGGAGGAGATAAGGGACAAGGCTATGCAAAGCCAGAAAGAACCAGGTCCCAGATAGCAAGGAAGAGATGAAAGATAAAAGGGAAGATGCTCTAGAAACAAAGCTATCCAGCTTCTGAAAACCCTGCAGATTCTTAAGGTGAGATCTAAAATCTGTCTTAAGGCCCCCAGGAAAGATGGGCTAAGTTTAGATGCCTGGGATGACAGAAGAGACACCCCCTACCCCCCAACAGTGAGCCTTACAACACCAAACCAGGAGGGCTGCTATGCTGAGCTTGTTTTGGTTGACCCACTGATTGGAACAGCCTAGCTGGCCAGTTCCATCCAACCAGAATAAGCTAAAAGACTTTCAGAGGAGTTCAGGAATTAAAATGCTGTGGGCTACCACGGAGCTTAACAAGCAACAAGGACATCTCTGGAAGGATGGGCTGAGGCAGAAAGGAAATATTCTTCCCCAGTCTTGGCTAGCTAGGGACAGAACCAAACAGACTAGGTGTCACAGCATGGCACTGCCTGTTCTCCCCCGCCTGCCAAGCTCAGGGCAAAACGGTCTCCTCTAACCAGGACAGCCTTGAGTGTGCTCTGAGGCCCAAGACAGCTGCAATGAGGGCTCCAAGTTCCAGGAAGCTGATGTGTTTCTTGGCTTAGAGTGCAGTCTATGTCTTGGATAGGGCAGCACCCATGCAAGTCACCCTCCCCCCTTGCTGACATGAGCTTTGGTCCAACGGGTCCTTAGAGTGTCACACTGAGCAGGCCCTGCACAATCAGGCACTGTCAACTGCTGCAGAGAACCACTAAGAAGAGGGAGGATGCATCTCTGGACCCATGTTCAAGAGAGCAAAATACAAAGGGGTGGGGGGACTACAACCCTGGGACCTAAGACCAGGCATGTGGGCCCCCCTTGGGTTGTCTTTTGATCTCTGCCTCAAGACTGCAGAAAATAGGCTTTTTAACCTGCCACTGAAAGCCCGCCATCTCTGGCCTCAGTTTATCTTCTGGCCTTCTTGCCTACCAGTTTCCATGGTTTATTTCTCTGTTCAGTTTCTTCCCCCAGAACATCCCTCTCCCCACTGGATTCCTCAGGGGCCATTTTCTACATGCAGCTTCCCCGAGTCCCACTAACCCCAGGCTCTTAGTTCCAAACTTGAACTCTGTAGTGGTGGTGGCAGTTACTCTTTTTTGAATACTGTCACCTGTTTAATCTTCATAACACCCCATGAGGTGTACAGATGAGACAACTAAGGTGTAGGGGCTTAAGTAACTGGCCCTAAGATCATGGTGATGAAGCAATGGGAATCCAGTTTCTAATCTCTGTTAAGTTTCTTTTGGACAAAATTTGCAACTCCTAGCACAAGGCTTGAGAACAGATGTGCTCCTCTCAGTCACAGTCTCTGACTTCTCACAATCATATTGAGTCATTTCTGCCCTTCCACACTGCTCAGCGCCTGGCCTCCCATTTCCTCCTGTTTCTAGGCAGGAAAAAGGACCTCTCTTCCCACCTTCATCTCTGTCCTCACAGGCAGGACTAGACTTCCATCTCAGACCACAAAGTTCATTGCATAGGGCAAGAATCTGCAACCTTCAATGCCCTCACTGCCGAAGAAACGGGAACTCCACATCCAACACCGCCGTGTGCTAGCAGCGCCCAGGCAGAGATGAGAAGGAAGCCACCAGGCTCAGCCTGAGCTCCCACACAGCCCAGTTCTGTGCCAGCTGCTGCATCCAGCTGATCCACCAATGAGAGCTTGAGCTCAGAAGTGACCTGTGTGCTCCAGGTCACTTCCGTTTCCATGAAAATGGAATACACACCTGGAGCAAGAGAAACTCTGATGGGGGTGCCCATACTTTCAGGTGCTGGGGTTCCAACAACATGCATGTGCGGAAAGTCGTGGGGGACAGGATATGGGGAGCATACATGGTGGGGAGTAGGCAGAAGTGTACAGATCAAAATTAAGCAAACACCACACAAAGGAAACTATACAGTTTCATGTGGCCACTGACCCCCCCCAGCAGAGTCATCCCAAACAGTCCCTGTCCAGCAGTCACAGCCCTTTGTTAGAAATGCAGGTTCTCAATCCACGGAGGTCATTATGGTACACCCTAAACATACACTGCTGAAAATGCAGCTTCTCAGGCCTCA